AACCATTACCATTGCTGCTGCTTCTGATGATGATGATGATGATGATCACTCGGATGATGATGATGATGGGATTAGTGCAATAGCTTACTGATTGCGATTCTGTTGAATTTACACTGTTGTCAATTAAGGTTACTGTTTTGCCAGATATTTGCTGGTTCAACGTTCCGAATGTTTAACACGTTCATGGTCTTAAGGTAGATGTTATTCACTCCATGAATCTGGTTCCCGTGCATGCATGCGTAGGTCACGTGTATAACAATTTCCCATAAAATGCTCCGTTTCATTCGCATAAATGTATCATAGAAATAAAAATTTAACACCTGCAGATACCTCATCTGTTGGACCGACTGGTTTGAGTTGTATGCATCATAATTATGTGGCGCTTGAGAATAGGACAGAAGCTCCACTCGGGCAATCAAACACTTTTCCAAATCACTGCACAAACTTTGTGCCACATTCCTGACACTGGTGAGAAATCCAGTTGCTTCATCCACGTGTGACTACAGTTAACAGCAACCGTAGCAGCAGTATTGAGTCACCTTGACTCCGTGATGCAGTTGTTCCCACGGGCCACAGGAACCACAAAATATGCAAAATCACACACACGCAGACACACACAGTCCTGACGAGTATTCTGGTCAAGTGCGATCACCTGATCTATACGTGTGTTAGCTTGTTTTGTTGTGCCCGTATGCGTCAGGAATGCGTGCCTATGTGTCTGTGAGCACACTCCTACAAACCGAATGTGCACTACACACATACCAGTCTGTCACAGCTACGCTCCTCCTCACCATTCGTCTTTCGCTCTCTCGATACGCGTGCGTGCCTCTGAGTCCAGTAGTTCGCCAATCAGGCAGTCAGTCAGTTCATCCAGCCGCCGCAAAGAAACGCGCAGCACGCCGAGCCTCATCTCTGTGCCGGTGTGTGGCTTGTACCTGTACCAGAAGGTGTCTATTACAGTTCCTCGAATTGCACAACAACAACAAGAACAACAACAACGGAGGAGTGTCGGAAATCAGTACAGATACCGGTTCCGGTGACAGGTTAGCAGAATTCGAAAACGAGTGAGTGGAGCGTACGGACCACAAATCAATGCTAACCCCATCCTGTTTTCAACCGCAATTGTGAAAATCTGTGACTAGTAAATAAGGATGTTGAATAACTGCCGGGTTGAGCAGCTTTGGTGAATCGACATTCTCCAGAACGGTATCAGGCCTAGACATAGACAACCGACACCCCTGGGATCGCGCGTTTTCCACCATGAAGCGGCGTTGGTCACCGGCAAATATGCCACAGCTGCGATCCCAACTGACCGGACCCCATGCTGACTTGATTCATGCGTGTTCGGTAAGTTGCTTACCCCTCATCGGTATCTCTCCCTCTATATCCATCCACGAACTGGGTTGAAACACCGCCGTGGGTAGATTAGATGTGTTACTTATCCAGTCCGGTGTAATACGTAGGAGCCGTTTATTTTCGGGAAGGGTTCAAACGGTTTCCATGGTAAAACATCCTTTTCTCTTTATCCATTTCATCAACACAAGAATACGTGTATGTAAGCAGAATTGATACTGGCCATCAACTGCTCGCGTGCTCTCATTCGGCTGTAAACGCACATTCATATGATCATGCAAAACGATGAAGCATAAGAGTTGAATGAGTCATTTGAACAAATTGGTGGTAGACAACTGAGTTAAGTGATTTGTGTTCCGTTGGGGGTTGAGATCAAGTTAGATGACAAAATTCGATATGGAGGTGAATTGGTCCGAACGATGTGGTGAAGATGTTGGAGGTAGGGGGAGGCAAGGTCGTGTCATGACACGTCATGCCGTGGTAGGGTGGTATCAAGTGTGACATCGTCATTACCACGGTAACAACGGTTGCTTCACAAGTGTTTTTTGAATACATAATTCCGGTTTCAAGCCACGAATAATTATCGCTTCTAAGAATCGCAAAGTCCTTCAACTTCGAGGCCTCGCAATGACTCGAAATGCTTTGGGTGCGTCTACATGGTAACCGGAATGCAACAAATGACAGACAATCGCACTAGATGGTAGATTCCTTCCGCGAAGGCCAAGGTGTTTTGAAACATGTTCACATATTCTGGTTGATAAATGACGTTCTGTCCTTCTGATGTACCGCTGATCGCAGGTACATTGAAATGATTAGGTTCAGTTGGAGGTAACACTAACGTGTTCTGGATCCAGATCAGTGCGTGTGAGACAACGAAACGTCCCATAGACAAGTAATAGTCTTTCGGCATTGTACATCCTTTCCACGGCATGTGTTAAACGACGGGATGTCCTTGTTGTCACACCATCTCCCTTGAAAGGCAGTTCTAAATAGCCATCTTTGTTTTTGGCCAATAGGGAAATAGACTTAGCGTTGATCGGCTTGCTGTACTTGTAAATGAATTTAACGGGATAGCCATTGTCTAGCGAAGCATGGGTCAATCGTTCTAGCTCATCTGGTAGGACGTGCGGACTATATTGTCGGCGAACCCTGTGAAACCGAGTGCGTACCAACCACACTTGTATCCCACAGGGCAGAAACTCCTGAAGTGTAAATATTGTCCTGTCCATGTAGGTTTTCGATAAACAGATATATGTAGCTTCCCGTCTGACAGTCGATTGAGTAGTAAGTCAAGGAATGGAAGTTTGGATTCTGATTCACATTCTAGTTGTTCAAATAGTTGTTTGGCAGATTTGAAGTTTGTATGTCGATTGTGAAAAGTTCAGTAGCCTCGCTAACTGGTGGATGCCACATGCCTCTGTAAGTTGAATGGGTAAATTCGA